ATGTTTCCTTAATCTTGGAGGGAAAGAGTTGAGCTGGAGAAACACTACCTGGGACAAAGAGAGAAGATGGATTCCATGGAGGCCCCATACCTGAGGTCTGAACAGATTCCATGGATACTCCATACCTTTGTGGGCATTAGGAAGACAGCAGAGGGGTCTGGAAGGGGGTGGGCATATCAGCTGGCTTCCAAGCCTCATGAAGCCATGCAAATCTCAGTGGTGGCCTGGGAAGGATCCAGAGTCAAGTTCAAATCTCTACCATGTGACTAAGTGGGCTGAGCTCTCAGTCCTGCCAGCAGAACAGGTGCCCAGATGGGGTCAATTGCAGAAGGTGGAAGGACCTCCGTGTACCCTACACAGGGTATAATTGGCAGAATTGCCATAACAAAAGACAGCAAGCCTGGTAACCAAAGGAATTTATTTTTGTTCTGAAGTCCAGAACTCAGACACCAAGGTATTGTCAGGGTTGGTTCCTTCTGAAATCTCCAAAGGAGAATCTGTTCCTGGCCTCTCTCTGTACTTCTGGTGTTGCCTACAATCCTCAGCATTCCATGGCTTGTAGCTGCCTCCATCCATATTTGATCTTCTCTGTGTGTATGGGTCCGTGTGTCCTCTCATAAGAATACTAGTCTTTGGATTATGGTCCCAACCTAATTAATTATTTCATCTTAACTTGATTATGTCTGCAAGGCATATCTTTATTCCAAATATGGTCATACCCACAGGCACCAGCCATTAGGATTTGAACCTAATTTGGGGACACTGTGCTCAAATCAACCCGCTGTATGTGGCTTATATGATGGAGTGGTAAAATGTTGGGCATTGCAGTCACAGTGGCTTGAGTCCAAGCACTGTCTTAGCTTGGACAAACCTCCCAGCCTGACTGAATCACAATATCCTCATCTGGAATATGGTGAGGGTGCTTAGAGCCTCGTGGAGCTTCTGAGAGATTGTAGGAGGCAGTACACAGAGCACATCTAGTGATTGCTGGCATATAGGAAGTACCCATGAAGGATAGCAGTGCTTGCTATTTTACTATAACAGGTCACAGTCTGAGAGCCAGATGTTCTGGGGGATCCCAGGACAGAGCATAGGGATAAGCAAATAGGTGAAAGCCATTCTAGGGAATCCAGAGTAAGCAACTGCCAATAGAATAGCAGACACAGGAAGCAAGCTGGGATTCAGGGAACAAGTTTTAGACCCTGGGGTAGATCTTTGTCCTAAGGGAAGGGAGACCTTTGCCAAATTGGGACCATAGTTCCAATCCCATTCTTAGATCCTTGTAGGAGATGATCCAGGTACAAGGGATATAAGGCTAGGATCCAGCCAGCTCTCATGATGGATGGATCCTACTGGTTGAAAAATGGGGCTGGGTAAGTCATTCTTACCTTCAGTACTAGGAGCTGGGGCTGTCGCAGAGCAAATGAGGCCAGATTCCTTCATGGCTGAGGAAAGCAAGAAGGGCTGGAGCCAGGTGCATGTAAGCAGGTCTTCAGTAAGTGGAAAGTTGCTTATGGAGATGAAATGACATCCTGGGAAGACCAGAGTTTTAGAAACATACAGAAAGGTCATCTGTGAGGCAGGAGAATCTCTGCAAGATCAGTGAAGGAGCTAGACAGATCAGAGGCTTGGTTTTGTTCAAGGACATAATTTCTGTAAATATCACAGGGAGGACTGAGGAGCTTCTCCAAGCCTCAGTTTCTCTCTATGAAAGATGTGAGGTTGGAACGGACATTTTTGAATGTCCATTGGCCAGCCCTGACAGAGTATGATTTTATGAATCATCCTGGAAGAAAATCTGCACGAGAGGGAAGAACCTGCCAAGACTGGGCCTTTCATTCTGAGTAATGAACTGAAACAGCAAAAGCTTGACATCTGTTCCGATCTTTCAGGGGAAGTTGGACAAAATAATGCCTTTTTCTGGGAAATCGTTACCAACAGTGAAATATAGTATTTCCTGCCTACACCCAAAATGAAATAGAGAATGCCAGCCCTCGTGAAGCCCAGGGGAGAACACATAGCACAACTCTGAGTGAAGGTTATGGAGGCCAATTATCTCACTGCTGTAGGCACAACACACCACAGACTCTGCTGTTTCTCAACCTTAGGAGAGCCTGAGACCAGGAAGAATGACAAGGAGATTCCAAAGACCCTTAGAGGGTCTGGGGGAGGAAAGGGAGCCTGTGGCCCTGTGATTGGCTTACTCTCCAGCAGCTGAAACATTCTGGTGGAATAAACATTGCCTGTAAAGAACTTGATCTCATCTGACTTGCTGTCAAAAGCCAAGGAAGATTCTGAGGTTCTTCCCGAGAATCTACCCAAGTTTCAAAGACCGTCCCTAGAAACCCATTCCCTGGGGCACTGTGAGGGATAGCAATGACTCTGGAGCAAGAGCAAAAATTCCCAACACAATATACTTTAAAGGGGCAGAAGTAGGGGAAGCCAGGATCTAGAATCTAACATTAAGCCAACCTTATAGAAGATTCTAGAACTTCAAGACTGAAAGCGACCTTTCAGAGTGTGTCATATTGGGTCCTTCCCTACTCAGGAATCCTGTGTACACCCCAATAATGTCTTAATGTCTTACTCGATCAGAAGTCCCATGACAATAGGGACTAGGTTTCTTGCTCGCTGCTTAGGCCAAAGCCCAAAACCCAGCAGGTCTTGAGCACATGTGTATTGATCTCCTGCACCTTCCCTCAGAGTTCTGTCACCTCAGATCCCCTCCTTTGTCCATGCCATGACCTGAGAGGGCTTTCAGGAACTGGAGTGGTAACAGCTGTGCTTCTTCTGCCTTCAAATCCAGACAAGTTCTAACACACATTCAGACATTTTTTTTTAAAAAAAAAAAAAAGGTCCCAGAACAACAATTTGTTGTCATAGGCTCCTCCTCCATACCTCTCCTTGGTCCTGGGGTTTAACAAATTCTTGGACTCTAAGCGTCAGTGATGGTGTGTGGGAGATGATACTAGAAGGAGAAACACTGGGGTGAGCCACCTCAGCGTTGTGCATTTCCCAGCTCCCCCAGCTTAGGGCACCCACTAAGCTGTCTAGCAACTAGGGCCGGCACTTCTTTCCTGGAAGTCTGATTTCTATTGGATTTCTAATTCCTAGTCTAAGATAAGTAGAGTCAGAGATGCTGTTCATAGCTACCATTTACTAAGCAATGTGATTAATGTCCATCTCCCTACCAGACTGTAAGCTCCACGAGGTCTGATATATTTGTTTCAGTCAGCTGTACATCACTAGTGCCTGGTAAGTCTCATAAAATAATGCAATGATGAGGCTAGGCCAAGCTAGCAGGTAGCTACATAGAGACAATGCCTTGGGTGGTGGTTTCGGAGGCAGGTCCACCTTAGCAAAGGGTCTCTAGTGCTGGCCTTTTGGATTGCTCTTCCCTTCCACCCTGCCCCAACTGAGGAAGGGAAGTTATAACTTGGTTTGTACTTTGAGGTATAAATAGCCATAGGAGCCCAAGGAGGAGCCTGTCCTAAGGAGCACTGTTAGAGGCTGATAGGGATTTGTGAATGGAGAAAAGAAGCAGTGGTTGTCCACAGCCCTCGCTGCACAGGGGAAGTCACAGGCAGCAAGCAGATGCGACCTAAGGCATGGGCAGCACACACTCGCCCCTTCCTGTGTGACAGGATGAGCCTCAGGGGCATTCAGAATGGGAGGCCATTGGGGTATTCTGAAAGAAGCAACAGGTACAGAGGTACAGAAGGTGGTGAGAATTAGACCACAGGAAGTGGGCAGCATCCTAAACAAGACCCAGGGTGAGCCCGGCATGGAGATGAGAAGATGGGAAATCAGACAGTTCAATGGGGCCTTGTGAGAGGACAGCAGTGGGGCAGGGGTGCAAAGCTGGGACAGGGATGAGGCAGTTTATTTGTTTTTTAATATATTTGGTACAGGGTCTACACTATGCAACTCAGACTCATAGTGATCCTCCTGCTTTCAGCCTCCCTAGGACTGGGATTGCAGGTGTGCGCCACCACGCCCAGACTTGGTGGCCAGCTCAGTGTGCCCAGGAATGTGGCCGGTGTGGCATGTGGTAGCAGGGATCAAATCCAGCTCCTGCGCTTGCCTAAGCAGGTGCTTAGTCTGCTGAGCTATCTCACCCACCTGAGGAGGGAGTTTAGATTTTGATTAGGAATGCTGAGACCTAAGAAATCAAGCTTTAATTAACCCCTTTGTTAAAATTGTGGTGGAGTAAACTGCAGAAATATATGAGCTACCCCAGCCCTACCACCTGTGCCTTCTCTCTCCATGCTACCCCTTACTAACAAGGCCCTGAACTTGCCCATTTGCTTTTTTCTCACCCTCACTGTCCAAGGAGGGTATCATCTTCATCCAACTAGCTTTTGGACAGGTTTTAGGACTATATCCATCATACGGAATGGGGAAAAGCAGTTGAGAAGTGGCTGCGAGAGGAAAGCGGATTGAAATAAGAGCTGCAGATGCGGTGCCCTCTTCACGGTGTCTGAAAGGCACGGATAAAGAACAGGAGCAATTTTTAAATGTTTGTTCCTGCAGTGTACTCATTTGACAAAGCACTGCCTTGAGAAGGGACCACGTGGGCCCCAGCGGTAATAGAGTTCCATTCTCTGCAAGTTCCCATCTCTCTCCTCTTCCTCGAGGTCATAAGCTCTTGGAGAACAAAGACAGAGTCAAATTCACCCTCGTCTTTCTGCACACTGAGCAGAACCTGGCCCAGAATGAGAGTTAGTGAATGTTGAAACTAGACAGTGGTTAAGTGACTTTAGGTTCAGGACACTAATGTCACCTCACTCGTGTATCTTCCTTTCTCCAAGAAGGTGCTCTGCTCTGTCACCTGCTGATTTAATGGTGCTCATTCCCCTTCCTCTCTCTACTCTACCTGTACCTGTACCTGTACCTGTATCTGTACCTCTACCTCTACCTCTACCTCTACCTCTACCTCTACCTCTACCTCTACCTCTACCTCTACCTCTACCTATCTCTATTTCTATCTCTCATTGCAGAAGGCAGACCTGGCTGTGGCGCCACTAACCATCACTCACGTCCGTGAGAAGGCTATTGACTTCTCCAAGCCCTTCATGACCCTTGGTGTGAGCATCCTGTATCGCAAGCCCAACGGCACCAACCCCAGTGTCTTCTCCTTCCTCAACCCACTGTCCCCGGACATCTGGATGTATGTGCTTCTTGCCTACCTGGGGGTCAGCTGTGTCCTCTTTGTCATTGCCAGGTAAGGTGATGCCTTAGCCAGAACCTGAGCCCAAGGTTGAAGGCTTCTAAAGCCCAGTGAGCTCCCACAACCCAAAGTTCAGCCACTACTGTGCCTACTGCTCTCTCCCTCCCTATGGCTAAGATCCCTTCATCTCCCTCAGGGACCATACCACAGCCTTGTCCTGCCCAGTCTCTATTTAAGACTCAGACATGGAGCATTTGTGATCCAGGTCTAAGCTACCAGGACCAGGTACCTGATGCAGCAGGCCCAGATGCATTGCATGGCCTGGGAATAGCTGAAAACTTGGAAAACAGGCTGTGCATGCACAAGCCACAATTTCAGGGGAATCTTGTTCCATAAAGGCACATGTGTGCCTATGTGCAAAAACATGGTATCTGGGATGCACATATTTATAACACAACATGCTTATACTTTGGGTCATTCACATGAAATAGACATGATGAAATTGCCCTGCCTTCTGGGCCAGTGCTGTGCTAGCCACCCTATCTGGTCAGCCTAGCCAGCAACTGAGCTGCCACAGAGAAGCCTTCATTACGCCTCTTGTCTCCAAAGTCCTAACAAGCCTTTGAAAGTCCTAAAAGCCAGGGACCACTCTCTGGGTGCTGTCTCCATAATTCCAGTGGCTCCAGCAATCTCCCAGCAGCTGCCCCTCTGAGATGCAGATTTCCCAGCTTCACCCGAGTCTATTTGATGTGAATCCATTTGATGTGCTTCTCCCCTCCCTTCGGATTCATAGCCTGTCATCCTCAGCAGAGAAGCCCAGCCTGCTCTCCACCCTGCCCTCCTGGAGGGCAGGACCTCAGCTTCCGGAAAGAGAAAGGATTTCTAGAGGGGGCTGACTCAGGATCCCCTCCGAGAGAGGAAGTTGACAAAGGCCTTACCCTTCTGATAGAGCTAAGAAGGCCATCATAGTGTAGTTGTCACTTGTGGAGCACCCACACAGCACAATTCACATCCTTCCTACAGCTTTGTGTGGTGAATATAATTATCTCCAGCTTCAGAAGCAGAAAACGAGGCTCAGAGAGGTCACTCCATTGCCCAGAGGAGGAAAGCTTTTCCTTGCCACAGTTGAACCAGAGCTGTCTGACTTTCAATTCAACACAGTTGATGCCAGGGCAGACAGCTGGCATGAGGGAGAGAGGCGGCCAGGTGATGGCAGCAGGAGTGGCCAGGACTGAAGCAAACCAGAGAGCATGCAGCTGACTGTTGGGGGCAGCCACCACTCGGTGCCAACAGACCGGCTGTGCTGGATAGAGACAAAGTCCATGTCACTGTGCTCATGATTTCTAGAGCGAGACGATTTTGATGTGACATCTCATTGTTCTGCTGTGTGACCACACTTTTTATAATACCGTCAGGATCAAGTGTAAGACATCCACGGTGTGGACACAGTTTCCACTGCCCCCAGCCCTGTCCTATGACATATGCCTTTTGGAGCATTCCATGCTGCTCCTGGACATCTGGACACAGTTGGCCATGCCCCCAAAAGATGGGATCTGCAAGTGTGGACTGGTCCCCAGGCCTGCGCCCAGACAGCTCCAGCATGGTGCAGGCCATCAGTATTGCAATCCAGCCTGGGATCCTGGCATTAGTTTTACCCCATCATGCCCAGTAAGATGGAAGAACACAGGAAGGGAGTGGAGGACACTTTCTCACCACTGAGACAACAGTGGGCACTGTGGCAGGGATGTGGTCCTAAGTGCCAGCTACAGGAAGTAGCTCCAAGGGTGAGCTGCCCATTCAGCCCCCGGAAGCCACTTTCTGGGCAAATCCCGCACAAATGTGTGTCCTACGGAAGAGAAGGCTGCAATAAGTGTCTGTCTGTACCTCGATGGGTGGGACTGGATTGCAGTCTTCTCCCCTGAGTAGAATCAGAGTGTCTCCAGTTAAGGGCTCCTGATTCCCATTTACTTGCAGGTGGAGCACCCTAGTACAGCCTCAGCTATAGTCTAAGGTCTACCATTCACTCACGTGGCACCTGGCTCTCGGGCAGCAGCCATCCAGCCCCTCCTCTTCAACTCTGTGGAGTCCGGACCCTTCCTGCCCTGTCTGCAGCATCACACACACACACACACACACACACTGTAAAATGGATACCTGTCGCTATCATACCTCAGACGGTGGTGGAGACCCCAGCCAGTGACAGACAGTGCCACGTACCCAAGGGACCCCCTTCCAGAGCCAGTTACTTTTGTTCCATCTCAGAGAGTTCATCTCATTCAAGTGTCACCATTGAGACACACTCTGGAATCTAAAAAGACTTTCTAGTAAAGCCTCAGAGGACAAGGCCACCTGTTGTCATTGGTGTCCCTAGAGGTACAACAGTGGGAAGCAGGGATAGTGCCAGTGCCCCCAAGAGAGGAATGGTTAAAGTTGCCCATGAAGCAGTTACAGAACACAAAGTACATTTAAAAAAAAAAAAAAAAGCTGATCTGGAAAGAGGTTGGTGACTTTTTAAGTGAAAACCCAAGTCCTCTGACAGTACAGTATTATGGTGTAGTGTTTTTGTGTTACAAAATGACATGACCTGAGTGTAACTAGCACAGGAAAAGAGCAAAACCCATGAACTCTGCTCAGAAATCACTTTCCACCTGTCTCCCAGGCCTCTCTTTCCAGGCCTCAGAGATGTCTTGTCCCCAGTGAAAGCTGGCATGGCTGTGACTTTTAAGCTCACTGCCAGATCATAGAAAATTCTAGGAATCTCTCTCAGCCTCAAACTTACTGTTTCCTGCCAGACATTAGAATCTTGATCTGGTGTTTCCCAAGTTTTGGCTTTATTCATGAGCCAGTGTCGTCCCCAGCCCCACCGCGGGCCCCCTGAAGGAGTGCCTTCTCCCACAGCCTATGCCTAGAGCCTGTGGAAGCTTATTACTCTTCTAGGGTTAACTCAAGGTGGACTGACCTGGATCTCTTTTCTTCCTGGTCCAGCAGTGAAACCCTGTGCATCCTCAGGCTTGGTGGCCCTGGGCTTGCGGCCTTAGTTATCCTGCTTCCTCCTGAAAAGCATGCATCACCTAATGCCTCCTTTCAGATGCCCTGATGCACTGGCCAGTACCACTGTCTTGGGAGGCCCCCTTCCTTCTGCTCTGAATGCCCAACTCTCCACAGGCTTTCTCCAAAATCTCTCCACATAACAGCCTCTCATCTCTGCTCTGCTGATCCGTCATCTCTTCCTTGTGGATTTTAGAGCCTCTCACCGGTGTGTGGTCAGTTCCTTTGAAAATCCTTAACTTGATTAGAAGCCTCTCTTTGGAATTCGCTGTGTGAGAGGTCTTTCTACTTTATAAGAATAAAATTCTTCTCACATGAGCACTGGTGATCAATCTATAATGGCCCATCTCTTTTAGAAGGGAGATGGAAAGAGGCATAATATTTAAGGGCATCATCACACCAGAAACCAACACAGAATTCACTGGACTTGCCTCTCATGCCCCCAGCCCCTTACTCTCTCCCCTCCCTGCCCCCGGCCAGGAATTTCTCCAGGGCATCTCAATTTTTCCCACATCTTCAAACCTACATATTGGCAACTAGAACTCAAGCAGCCAACCAAGACTCCCTCTATTAATTGGGACTCATCTTCCTTCAAGGCAGTGGGGTACTTTAAATAACATTTTCCCCTGTCATATATATATTTGTACAGTCCAAGAGAAAAATCTGAAAAAATATATGCCACTGTTTTCTCCCAGAAGGTAGGATGCTGGGGTACTTTCACTTTCTCTTTATGTTCTTCTATACTGTTTGAATATTTTATAGAGTGCCTTTTACTTCTTTTTACATTTTTAAAAAAAATTATACAAGACATTCAAAAGCATCTTCTCATTTTTAAAAATTCATCGAATCCCTATAAAGCAACAGCCCTCCCTGAAGTTCCTTCTGCCTTTCTGACTTCCCTCTCCAGAGATAAACACTGATATTCTTTATGAGTGGAACCTTCCAGACCCTTAAGGATACATTCACATCTAAATACGCAGAAAGAGCTCTATATGTCTTCAGGAGTCTATTTATATAAATGTGATCATATTGTTCTGATTTTTATCACTCCCTTTTGTGCAAACAGGAGGCTCCGAAGAGCTTGGCCCATCCACACATCTAGAAGGTCCCTGCTCTTTCACAGTGACATGATATTTCAAAGGACAGTTGCCGTACAGTTTGTTTAATCATCCCTCTATTGAAGGACATTTAGGTTGTTTCCAGTTTTTCACCGTCACAAACAGCGCTTTGATATATACCCTCAATCTGCTTCCTTTTTTTTTTTTCAATCTGCTTCCTGTACGCTCCCGTACAAGTGCTTTTTCTCAGATGGATAATGAGTTTCAGAATGGGTAGATGGAGGGGCAGGCCCACTTTTAATTTTTGGAGGTTTTGCTGACTTACTTTTACAATCAGAAAAGGGCGTGAAGTGTACAAGAAGAATAGCCTGACTGGTGCTTGCCTGCCTCCTGAGCAGATCAACCAGGGATGCCCGAGTGGCTGGCACCCTGCACCTGTGCTTGGTCCCTGTTGGTACAGTGCCCTCCATCTCCCTGCACTCAGCCTCAACTGCTTTCTTCTTTTCCTTCTGCAGGTTCAGCCCCTATGAGTGGTACGATGCTCACCCCTGCAACCCTGGCTCTGAAGTGGTAGAAAACAACTTCACTCTGCTCAACAGCTTCTGGTTTGGAATGGGCTCCCTGATGCAGCAAGGTGGGTACCTGATCTCCTGTCTCCTCTCCCAAGAAGGATGTCTTCCATCCCCAGCAGGACCAGCAGCCTCTGTGGAATCAGTAGAACCAGCTCATCCTCCAGGGGCAGCCTCCAACCCTGCTGAGCTGCCAGAAGGTGGAAGACGCCCTGCTGTGTGCCCTGGACTCTGAGCACCTGCCCACTATCATGCTGGCTAGAACTCTCAGGATCTAAAACCAAAGCATGCAGCCACCCGGACCTATGGCTTGCAGGATGCAACCCCAGCATCTCCTACTACAGCTGAAGAGGACACAGAGCACTCTGCTTTCTGGGTCGACCTCCTATGGCCTCTCTGCCACAGAATCAGGCTGAGCAAAGTTGGGCTATGGATGTGGAATACCGGAGGTGGAGAGGCTGGGCAGAAGGCCATTGCAGGAGAGATGTGAGAGCTCAGGGGAGGCAGTGAGCATAACTTTGGGAAGTAGAATAGTCACAACTTGGTAGTCAACTGGGCCTGGGGACCTGGGAGCCAGAAGGGTCAGTTGAGGAGGAGACTGCCACCTGAGTGTGTCAGAGAGGGGACCCACAGGAGGACACATTATTTTGCCTCCTCTGGAAGGACCATATACTCCTCATGACCCTGTGCAGGCAACCAGCCTTTGGGGGGTACCAACAGCTGCTAACATACCCAGGAAGCAAAATGTCTGCTCTAACTGTAAGGTATGAAATGCAGAGAGATGGAGGGGTTGGAGCAGTCCCAGAGGAGGCCCAGCTAAGAAAGGCCCCAGAGAGAACCACCCACCCCCGCCTGCTGGCCGCAGCTATGTGTCCACTTTGCCCATGGAGTTCCATATCCAGAGCCTCTTATCTGGGGATGGGGCAACCACATCTCTGCCTGTGTTAAAGGCCCACTAACCAGGGCCAGGGACAAGGAGTTTCAAGGGACAAGGAAAGCCTCCTGTCCTTTATTCTTCTTTGTATAAACCCAAGTCCCAGAGCAATGGCCTGGTCCTCAGGAGACATCCAACAGCAAATGCTTAATTAATTAATTAATTAATTAACAGTATTATCCTGAGTGTCCACTGCACACCAGGCTCTGTACTGAGTACTTGAATGCAGAAGAGGAAAGAGCAGCTCTCTCCTACACCCCAGAGACCATTCAGCCCCCTAGAGCCCAGGGACAGGCTCCAAGCCTGGCTGGGGGAGTCAGCTGCCTAGCAGGGCTTCCCAAGAAAACAGCTAAAGGAAGCCCTTCTGCTTCAGAGGCCAGCTGGAGCCCTGGCTGGAGCAACTTGAGGAGGCTAGGGGTGACTGTCTGGGGAGGGAACCTGGGCAGCTTCCTGGACCCCAGCAGCTGGAAAGTGACAGGCAGCTTTCAAGGGAACTAGCTCCCCCTGTCCCCACTATTAACGAGTGTCCTGAAGCCTCAGCTCCTTTCCTAGCCCATCATCTTTGTTCAGAGACAGTTGGGAAGGACCTAGAAAGCCCTTATTGCGGTAATAACTTCCCCTCTTTTGCTGCCTGCTGCTATTCAAAGCCTTGGCCCCCCGTGCACTCCCCTCACGGTTTTGATTAGGAGGGAGAAAATATGTATTTGAAAACTCTCCCTTGAGTGATTTCTTTGAGAAAAAAAAATCATCCATATCAAAGCAGACACTTTTCAGATTGCAGGTCCAAATATTCTGGAAAGTTCAGGAGTCACTTGCTATTTAAATCTCTTGAAAGCTGCCTAGTTAATTACTTCAGTTAGAAGGTTTCATCTGAATTATGCTCCACACCCAAGGTCGGGAAGGAAGAATGATATATTTCAGCAAAGAGTTCTGAAAATGTTGATTTTTCTCCTGTCGCCAAGCACCACACAGCAATCTCATATTTGTATACTGCTTGTATTTCCAATGCAATTTCTCTTGAAATTATATCATTGCGGCATCATAGTATTTCTGTGAATCTGGGACAAAGAAAGGACAATTCTCTGTGCTCTGCAGTCTCAGAGAGGGGAGGACCTGGCTTAAGCTCACACAGAGTGTTGGCAACAGGATTGACTCAAGTTCCCAGGGTTCCATCTCCCACAGGTCTTAACCTAGCCCATGGATAGGCAGTGGAGGGCCGACACACCCTGTGAACTGGTGTGCGTGTGTGTGTGTGTGTGTATGTGTGTGTTGTTGTTGTTGTTGTTGTTGTTGCAGAGTAGGGGCTCTTAAATTTCAGATCAGAGCCACCTGAATGGGGCTCTGTGAACACACAGATGGTGGTCCTGCCCCTGCCTGCGGCACCGCTACCGCAAGTCCTGGGGTGAGGCCTGAGCGTCAGCATTGCCAGCAAGTGCCCAGGTGGCGCTGGTGCTGGGCCACGCGTCTGAGAGCCGCGCTCGTGAAAGCGGCAGTGCAGTCTCCAACCCAGGTGGCTCGAGCAGCCCTTGTCTGTACAGTGTAAGACTCTGCTGTCTCCTTCCCCCAGGGTCTGAACTGATGCCCAAAGCCCTGTCTACACGCATCATTGGGGGCATCTGGTGGTTCTTCACACTCATCATCATCTCTTCCTACACGGCCAACCTGGCTGCCTTTCTCACTGTGGAGCGCATGGAATCACCCATCGACTCTGCCGATGACCTGGCCAAGCAAACCAAAATCGAATATGGGGCTGTCAAGGATGGGGCCACCATGACCTTCTTCAAGGTGAGGTACTCTCCTTTCCATTGCAGTACCACAAGCTGACCTACCACAGACCCTTTGCTGAGCAGAAAACAAAAGGGATGGTGGGGGTCTCTGTCTAGACCCACAGGTCAGAGCCAATCAATGAGCCAGAAGGCCCTGGGGCTCATCCCCTCCCTCTTTCAACCAGTTGCCTTTGGGAAGCTGTGTTTATATAAGCTGCACAGGTAGGTCTCAGCACAAATTCTAGAAGATTTTGACTCTGGGACAAGCTGTATGAGTCATCAAGGGAGTTTAGATAGAAGGGAGTGGGTGAAGGGGAAGGGGGAAGGAGGAGGGACCCAGACACATGAGTAGGTCCTAGAACAATGGCCTTTGTCTTGGCTTCTCAGGGCCATCCAACACGCCAACGAGGTGCTAGCCTGAGGTGAGAAGGAGCAGTGGGGCATGTACCTGAAGGAAAAAAGGAGGCTTAGAACTCAAAGGCCCAGTTATAAACACCACTTACCTAGTATGCTATCCTCAGAACCCTGGCAGCCTCAGATACGGATGTCCAGCCATGACTTCGTTGCTTCTGTTTTGAAAATATTGGTTCAGCTCACTAACGTTTCTTCATCTGTGCCAGCATAGACCTGTCCTCTGAGAGCCAGTAGGTGTCATTATGCAGCCAGAAGTAATAGTAGTGATAGTTGCCAGCTCTGAGGCCCGCAGTGGGACGGAGCTACACCCACTGCTCAGGCTCGTGTCACCTTCACAAGTCCTGTGAGGTCAGTGCTCTAGTTATTTTTACTTTACATATGTGGAAACTGAGGCTCAGAACAATTTCTCATTCAAAGACTCACAACTGGGGGAGCCAAATGCTGCCTTCCACCAACGCCTAGGAACTAAGCCAGTGTTGCTGGGACTTGCTACATTCGGGTGCCCAGGAGGACTTGTACCACATGGAGCACTTGTTCTCCCCACAGAATGTCTGACCCAGAATGGCTGGGCAGGGGCCAAGAGCGAGTATTTCTAACAAGTCACTGGGTCTTGTTGGCATAGCTGCTCCGGGGACCAGCATTTGAGAACCGCAGCTGTTATGACCTCTCAGAAACAATCAGGACTTGGGAACTCTGCAGCTGCAGATGTGTCTCATTGATTCACTAATCACCTGCCACTGTCAGTCTGGATGCCAGGTACCCCCCTTTCTCTGGGTCCCAGTTCCCTATCCCTCAGCTCAGCTACTGCCTCTTAGGCTAAGCTTCTGAGGGATGGATTGAATCTCAGGAGGGCCAGAGTAAAGAGAGGAAGATAGAGTGGGAAAACCTTCCACAGGATCCCCGAGCACTTTCCCCACCAACCCTTCCACACTCTTCCTCGAAGTTGCAAGTAGCTTACAACGTCAAGGAGAAAGAAGGGGTCAGGAGCCAACTACTCCAACCAGGAAGCTGCAAACACCATGTGCCTAAGAAGTCACAGCTTTTATTTAGAGCAAGGGGAAGATAAAAGCATCATCAAAGAGATGTTATGAACTCTAGGATTCCTTAAGTGTGTATGAGTGTGGACAAGAATGATTTCGTGTGTACACATTGTATGGCTGCATGTGTGCAGGTAGCAGCAAATACTGCATGTAAAGGTACATGTGTGTATGCAGATGTGCACATGTGTGCCCATGGCTGGGAGTCGTCCTGTGTGGATGCACATCTGTCTGCGTTTAGACATGAATGTCTTCATCGTATGTGTATGGGTATGTGTGTGTGTATGTGTGTGTGTGTGTGTGTGTGTGTGTTGGTGAGCTTCTGTGTAATGCATCTCTGTGATCTGGACATGTGAATGTTTGCAAGTGTGTGCCAGAGTGTCTGTGTGTCTGTACGCACAGAGACTGTATGCTCAGTGTCCCCGTGGACATGCCTAGATAAGTGGGGGAAGGGGAGCTATGTAATGATGTGTGTGTGTGTGTGTGTCTCCGTGAGTGTGTGTGTGCACCTGCTTGCCTGTCCCCAGGCTGCAGCCCAGCCCTTTGACTGAGCAAGAGCCTCTCTCATGCATTACGCATGAGCCTGTCTCTAAGCAGGGCTCCCGATCAAAGGGAAGCGGCATAAATAAGCCCGACACGGGCTCATTGCCGCTGATTGGATGCCCTCACCTTCCTCTATGCTAAGATGCTCAGATTGGCTTCCCAGAGCCTGGTCCCAGCTCCCCACCGAGCCTCTGTCCTCAGCATCAAGCGGCACCTCCCGCAGCCTTCTCTGCCCCCACCCACCTTCCCTGCAAATGGCAGAGCGAGGAGGGCAGGGAAGGCACACAGATGCCGCTACCCACTGGGTCTCTGGGGCTCGAGGGCCTGTGCTCACAAGGACCCTGTGGCCAGAAGCAGCGCCTGCACATCCCCCTGCAGAACTGGCCACATGCTCATTCTCTTCTGGGTCAATCCATCCCTATGTGTCTGGCCACACTGTCTCCCGCCTCCACTCACGTGAAGCGCCTCTCACCCAGGTGTCCTCCCAGGGCAGCATGAGCACCAGGGCCATGATGTGGGTGGGGAGAACTGTGGATGTGGGCACATTAACCTTGGTTCCAACGATGGGTTAGATGCTGGCACCCACCCACAAGGTGTCTGGACAAACCTGCTTCCTCTGCAGCTGGACTTCCTGGTCATATCTTCCCCCGAGCCAAGTCGGAGCTGATCATTACTGCAGATTGTTTGCAAGTTAGAGCTGGATGAGATCTGGCTTCGACCTGCAGCAGTGGAGATGCAGAGGAGCTGGGTGTTTCACCACAGCAGATCAGTGGTGGAGCCAGGCTCAAGACTGGGGGGATCTGCTGTCTGCAGACACAGTGCTCTCACCTACATCCCCTCAGGGGTCTTCTCCTAGGAGGTGGTACTCTGTCCTTCCCAAGGGTACGTATGGCAAGGCTGACGGCAGGTGTGGACAGGTATCAGCCCCAGGAGAAGCTGAGAGCTCTAGAAGACACTCAACTTCACTCGTGTCAGCCTCAGAACAACCCTAGAAGGTAGATTATCATCATCTCCATTTTATACAAAATGAAAGTAAGGCTCAGAGAGGCTAACTGACTTACCCAAGGACACACAGCCAGTGAAATGCAGAGCTGGGATTTGAACCCAGCAGTCCAGCTGTCCTGCCAAGGCTTTCTATAAGGACCCTGTCAAAATCCTCAGGAGTCACTTGAGAAAGAAGGAAGCCAGTCATCTGAGCCAGACCCGCAGCCAAGCACAGTCCTGCTGCAGTGTAGCTGCTGAGAATTGATTCATGCTGAGTTGAAGCTGCTCTAGAATTAAAGGACGGAGTAAAAAGGAAGCAGAAGCTGAGAGGACCCAGTGCAAGAGGTCGTGTCGAGAACCAGAACCAAGCAGGTGGGATCCCCTGAATGGCCTGGGGTGCAGGCCAGCCAACTCTGTTTCCATGGAGGCTGTGAGCAGGCTTCTCATCTCCCTTGGCTGACAGTGGAACACAGGGGAGGGAGGCACCCAAGGCTGCCCAGAGGTGGTGGACAGGAAGCAGGACAACAGACTTCCAGGGCTCCTCACCTCCTGGCCTTGGCCCGCAGCCTGCGAGGTGCATGGCTGGAGGCTGCCCCGTCCCTCCAGAGGAGGTTCTGCTCGACGTTGTCAGGGAGCAGCAGACATCACAAACAACATCTCCTGTGTTGTCCTTCCTCCGTCTTAGAAGATAAAAATTAATTAGGAGATGAAAAAGGAGGCCTTTGAAAGTACCGTTTGGCTGTAAAAATATGTAGGCAAAATGTAAAGGAGAATGTGGGAGAAAGCATGCTCTTTGCAGGGAGGGCTGAGGAGCTTTGAAGGCAGAGGATGTAGGAAGACAGCTTCTGCAAAGACTCAGCCCTCTTTGCTTGGAGGGGATGGGAGCCCTGAATACCAGGGGGCAGCTGGGAAAGGAGTGGGAGCTGGCAGCCCTGAAGCCCAGGCTCCTCAGCCCAAGGCACCCTCCACCTTGCACAGCCTTTTCCCCAGCATCTGGCCTCGAAGGCATGCAGAGGGGCCACCCCTCCACGCCTTGCCTCCCAGCTCACAGAAGACTCTTCCCAGAGCTGGGGCACCCACGAGGACACTCCTCCATCTCAGCTCCAGTTTCTCTGGACCTCAGGCCTCAGCTTGCTCACAGTGTGCTGTGGCTGCTCGCTCCCATGCGGCAGCAATTCGCAAGAGGAGGGCCTGAGCTACTGTCGGACAGTGGTCATCCTAGGGCCAGGGATGCTCTTGCCCTGAAGTTCCCTCCTAAGGCAGGTGACTTTATACACGTTGAAGAGGGACCAGCCAGTAGATCCCTCTGCACTGGACCTACTGGACATTGATGTCATGGTGTGGCCACCTGCCTCTGCTCAGGGCTAAGCACTTGAGCAGGAGCCTAGAAGTCCTAAGGTAGAAAGAATGCAAAGAGAGTAGACAAAGGAGCAGCAACACGTGCAGGGCAAAGGCCAATGATGACAGGAAAGTCACTGAAAATTACTAAGTTACTGATGACCTCCCTGTGCCTTTGTTTTCTCATCCATAAACTGGGTATAATACTTACCCACATAGAGTTCTTGAGATGAATGAATGGGGTCTCTCACATACACAGCTTAGGAGGCAGTACACTGGGGACAAAGAAGGCATGCAGTAAAAGTATCTTTATTGCTTATTGCTGCAAACAGGTGATGTGCAACCCATAGGCATGACTGTTTTGCAAGCCATGGACTGCATTACTCATTTTATGAAAATTTTTTTTTAGTTTCCAGCATTTTAGAATCTGAAGGCTTTTGCATTTTAAAAATTCACATTTCCAGCCTCTTGAAAATGTGAACTATCTGGCATCACTGAGCTGGTTCTCCTGCAAAGAGCAGTTGTCGCGGGCTCACAGGCGATGTCTGTCTCCAGCTCACAGATCCCTCTTGGCCTTTTTAGTTCTTTCCATACCCAGCCTGGCCCAGTCAGCATTTCAGGATTTACCACAAAATATCATGTTATTCAATCTGCATAGCCACCTCTGCACTGGGAGAGCACTGTGCCCTTCCTTATCCCTCCCTCCTTTTCTTCCTTCCATTCTCTTTCTCTTTCCTTCTTTCTCTCCTTCCCTCTTTCTTTCTTTCTTCCTTCCTTCCTTTCATTCTTCCTTTCTTTCCTATAATACTAGAGATTGAACCCAGGGGCTTCACACTGAGCTACACACCCAGCACTTTGTGTGTTTTTTTTATTTATTTGTTTGCTTGGCTGTTTTTATTTTGAGGCAAGATCTCCCTTGTTGCTAATTTGCCCAGGCTGGGCTTGAACTTGAAACCCTTTCCTTCAGCCTCCTGGAGGGCTGGGATTATAAGCACGCACTGCCACACCTGGCTTTATCCCCTCCTTCTAACTGGGAAAAGCAAGCCTGAAAGAGAATCAAGGAGCCTGGAAGAGAATGATGCCGCCAACCATGCACAGGGACTCAGGATCAGGCTGGTGTGCTGGCAGACCCTTCGCACCTCTTCTTCCCAGGTATTCACAGTCCCTACAAGTCAGCACACTTAAGGCCCGGATTTTACAGATGTGAAAAGTGCGGCTTACAGATGTGAGATCTCTAGACTGTGGCTGCAAAAGGAGTCCACGCACTGGAGATGACCCCTCCCCCCACCCCCACTCCCAGCCCCTCGGGACTCACCTGGCAGTGGTCTGGTGTTTCTGATCAGCCTCAGGGGCTGCCTCTGGGGCAGAGGGCCAGCGAGCCTGTCCTCGCCAAGGGAATGGTAGCAGCAGGCAGAGGCGGGGACTCAGACTGACCTCCTGATCCCTATGGAAATAACCCGACAGCAGTGATTAACTGCTCCAGGACGGGGATCTGATAAGGCCAAAGACTCCATAGCCAGGGATAAGAGAGCTAATTAATTTGGGAAAAGGTTTCTTCTCCAATATGGAAAATACCCAAGGTACTGACTACATGGAATCGGATTGCTGCTGTCTCTCTGCACACCCTCCCTAGGATTTAGCTCCCTCTGAGATGGATATATATGTATTTATATATGCATATAGACTTATATACATTCTCTTGTACAGAAATGTTAAATTCTCAAGATTAAGTATCTTCAGTTGGAGAAAATCAATTTACTTCTTTGAGGAAGCTGGAAATGGAAGTCATGAGCCTGAAACTTACTTTCTTGCCAATTTTTCTGATAAAAAAAGCATCTCTGTCCTGGCAGATCGCCCTGTATTGGCTGCTCCAAATGATTCCATTAATTGATTTGGGTGAGTGGCCCTGAAGTAATCCTTATTAAGGTCCCACCAGAGCAGGGACAGGCAGGATGATGCTGGAGCCGTAGTACGTGGGACTCCATTCTCAGGGGCAGGGTGGCTGAAGCTCAGGCCAGTGACAGACAGAACTCAGGCCTCTGGTGACCAGGCCCACGGAGGACCTCAGATTCCAGGCTCCTCCTGGCTCAGATGCTTCAGATGTGCCTAAGGAGGATCTTTCCTAGCAGGCCCCCGAATCTCAAAAGTGTTCAAGGACAAGGGAACAGAATTTAAGGAAAAACAGACCATGAGCAGATGCATTGAGAATGGCGACTCAAGCTACAGAGCCAGGATGCTGGGTGGCCACTCCGGGGAAGCAGATTTCAGCCTTCTCTGCTCAATGTGATGGCGTCAGTGGGGCTCCAGCACTGGAGTAGGAGAATGGATCCCCCTGAAATCTGTGGCATAGGCGGTTTCCACCTTGTGTCTCCTCGCATCCTGACTGGCCCACACTCTGGTATCCTCTCCTACCTTCCTCATTCACTTCCTTTCCCCTCTGGTGGTTTTCATGTGTTGTCCTCAAAGCCCAACTGCCCAACCCCGCTTCAGCCTCTAACCAAAGCTCCTGTCTCCATTTCGGGTGCTGAATTCCTAGGAAAAGCTTCTGTTTTGGTGTCAGACAAGCCCGCGTAGAGGAGAAGAGCCAGAGAGAACCCAAGTAAGGGGAAGTCAGTCTCTTGTGCCTTATTTTGGGTACATGTAATTACTTCAGGAGAAATTAACAGCAAGTGAGTAGGTCCAGCTGGAAGTCAAGTGGTGGGAATTTCACAAAGGTCTGAATGCCAGCAAATGGGGACCATTGGAAACAATTTAGAACCTGGAGACAAGCAGGCAGAGGAAAGTAGTTGGGGCGGGGAGCAAGGAAGCTACTGGCCGGAGGATCTGCATATCAGGAAATGGAAATGTCATGGGCACTGCTGAAAATGAGGTGTGGCTTTAAGGAAAGAGGAGCTGGTGGGGCTTTTGGGAAACAGCTGAGAAGGGGAGAGCCGCAGGATGCTGGAGCCTGGAAGGCAGGGATGCAGAGGAAGTTGCCATGGAGCTGGAGTGGCTGCAAGAAGAGGCTGAGGACCAGGAGGAGCTGGGAGTAGCCCAGAGTGGGCTCTGAGTGCCTGAGCTCTTGGTGACTTTGGCTTTGGACCATGTGGATTTGCAGGCAGGAGCGTGGTACCTCTCTGTGAAGGTGTGCATGTCCTGAAGGAGGCTTGCTGGCCCTCGTTAATCCCATCATAGATGGAACACTGGAGGGTTCTGCTTGCTGCTTTGAGGGTCCATCCTGTCCTCACTGCCTCCAAGTGTGCTGGGATCTGCAGGACCAGTTTCCAAAGCTTGTCAGTCAGCTAGAGATAGAAAGCCCATTTTCCTCCCAGGCTCCCCAGCCCCTCCTGGTAGGCATGACTTCTTCCCCAGCCCCTAACCATGCCTCAGCCTCTGCCAGTCTGTGTGAGCACACCCGTGATCTCATGCACACCACAGGCTGGGTGCCAGTCAGACACACTGATGTCACAGAGAGCCACAGGCAGACTAGGAAACCACCAAAACACCAGGGCCAGCAAAGCCACCTGTGCCCCTGGGACCAACTGAGACAGGGCAATCCTTGCTGGGAGCAGGCAACCAGCAGCACTAAGTTCCCGAAAATTCTCATAAATGCCATGCAGCCTACTCTTCACAGGCTCTCCAGGCAACAAGGGCCCTTGGCCCCAGCCCTCCTCCCTCTATCCACAGGGACCTCTCTGAGTCTTACCAGCCCTACCTGGTCTTAAGAATGCTGGTTCTGCAGGTGGAACATGTCCATCCAGAGTCCTGTGACCCCAGCTCTGAAACAGCCACCAAGGTTTACAGACCCCCTGCTCTGAATGTTCACCGACCTCCCCCACTGGGCCAGAGAACAGACTAAACCTAAGCTTCACATAGTCTCCCCCAAACAGTACAGACAGGCCCTGCCCTGTCTGAGGAGAAGTGGGGGGCCAGGCCCACCGAGCTTGCCCTCACCAGCACTCATCTCCCAATCAACCACCCTCACAGTCACTCCTGCCCGGCAGTGCTGCTCAATAGTTAGAACACGGATGCTGGCTCCAGCAGCCCTGGCTTTGAATCCTCACTCTGCCATTCAGTACTGGGTACTTGTAGGCTACTTCCTCAGCTGTACCTCAATTTTCCCCTGTAAAATGGAACTAATGAAGGTACCTGCCTCCCGGGGTCACTGTGAAGATCCAACAACTAAAGTAAAACAGGGAAGGTGCTAAAACAAAGTCTGGATGTGGTAATTATTTAACACGTGTTAGAGAAAAGATTAATTTTTCAAAACTTTTTTGACCAATGTTGTATGCCTATCTCTGGTAATCTAAATAACTAATTTGAAGACAACAACCACTGTTGAATTCCTAGTATTTTGTTTAGTGAAATTTTGTATCTTTTATGTTTTCTAGCCACTTTTATTCTCTTTAAATAATAATAATAAAATAATAACAAAAAGCCAATCTGAGCTAGACTCAGCACTATGGGAGGCTGAGGCAGGAAGACCACAAGTTCAAGTCCAGCCTTACTAACTTAGCAATTTAATGAGGCCCTGCCTTCAAAATTTAAAATAAAGAGCTAGGGATGTAACTCAGTGCAAAGACTCTGGGTTTGACCCTAGTACCAAGAAAAAAAGAAAATGCCAATCTGAAGACCATTCATGCCATGGTGAAGAATCAGAGTTTCCAGAAAGTGGGCATGGTCTGATCTCAGCCTTATGACCTCCCAACTCTGCCTGGGGACCGCTCCCCACAGGCCTCAGTTTGCCCATCTGTGCAATGGGCCATGCTCCCTCACTCTGAAGTGTAGACCAAGCTCACGCAGGGAGCCAAGCCCCGCTGAGCAGGTGTGCAAAGCTCGATCACATGTGTACTTCCCCCCTCTCCCCTTGGCCCAGAAATCCAAGATCTCTACCTTCGAGAAGATGTGGGCATTTATGAGCAGCAAGCCCTCGGCGCTGGTGAAGAACAACGAGGAGGGCATCCAGCGGACCCTGACAGCCGACTATGCGCTGCTTATGGAGTCCACCACCATCGAGTACATCACCCAGAGGAACTGCAACCTCACCCAGATTGGGGGCCTCATCGACTCCAAGGGCTATGGCATCGGCACGCCCATGGGTGAGCTGGGGAGCAGGGAGCGGGGAGGGCAGAGCCCCACAGCTGCTCATGACCCCAGGAAGTTGGCACTGCCTCAGCCAGGGCCAGAGGGACAGAATCACAGACTTGCAGAGGTTGGCCCTGGCCTGAGCAGTGGGAAGTGGGGCAAGCAGTGTGGGGGCGTCAGTTCCCAGAGGTCATCTCTATCTCCCCTCATCCCTCCACTGATGCAGCGAAGAGGCCTTCCAGGGACCCACGCCAGTGGACCTTCGGTGGGCTACATCATCCACCTAGTTGTCTTAGGTAGACTTAAAAAGGGACCTCGGTGGTAGAATCCCCTTGTAAAGAGCTCATTGACCAAGTTGGTGATGGTGGCTGGCTCCAACCAGAGTGTTGACGGGCTCCAATAAATGATGAGCCGAACAGGAACCACTGACAGCCAGGGTCCCCTCTTCCCTTGCCAGGATCTCCTTACCGGGACAAGATTACCATCGCCATCCTGCAGCTGCAGGAGGAGGACAAGCTGCACATCATGAAGGAGAAGTGGTGGCGGGGCAGCGGGTGTCCCGAGGAGGAGAACAAGGAGGCCAGTGCCCTGGGCATCCAGAAGATCGGTGGCATCTTCATCGTCCTGGCGGCTGGCCTGGTCCTGTCTGTGCTGGTGGCCGTGGGCGAGTTTGTGTACAAGCTCCGCAAAACGGCAGAGCGAGAGCAGGTGAGCCCCTAGCTGACCTGCGCGGCCCTGAGAGGGAGAGGAGCACTGTGTGGCCTTGCCCTGCCGGTGCCCGCCACGCCGCGCTCTCACCCGCTCTCACGGCAGCCCATCTTCATCCAGTCACCAGGACACCCTGGCCCTCTCCTTCGCCCTGACCCCGCCCAATGTCCTCTGCTTTTACTCCAACCCAGGAAAAGGTGCCATCACTGCTGGCCTGGACTGTACCTTCCCGCCTCCGCCTCCGCACTTTCCGGCTGCTGTCTCCTAGGTGCATGGAAGCCGGGACCCTGTTTAAACCTTAATTCAAACCATTATCAGTTTGCCGCATAAAACCCTCCAGGGTAATTGTTGAAGCCTGGAGGTGGTGGCAAAGCGTTCATTATACTCTTCTCTCCACTTCTGCGTATACTTGGAAATTTCCATAACCAAAAGTTTTAAAAGGAAGAGTTACAAGGGCTGGCCCACGTGTGCAGACAGTGGAACTGGGCTCTGCTAGTCTGATTAATTCAAGCCTGGTGGGGCAGTGGTTCTGGGGCCCTGGAGCAAATTAGAACCACAGGGAGAGAGTTTTCAAGTGCTAATGCCCTGGCCTTGCTCCCAGAGACTCCATTTTAATTGGCTCGTGGCAGAGCCCAGCACAGTGTTTTCAGAAAGCTGCAGGGCGACTTAAACATGCACCTGGGTAGAGGCCTCTGGGCTGGGAAATCAGCGCTCCTGGAGAAGTTCAGGGGATCCAGGTGTGGGGGAGGGGGTCGCCGTGGAATCCTCAGCGCAGGGAGCTTATCCGTCCAGCACCAAAGGGAATGGGCCCGTTTCAGACAGCCATCAACCTAAGTCAATAAAGAGCAGGACAAGGAGAGTACCAGCTGTTCCAGTTACCCTGGGTGAGGGGAGAGACCCTTCCAGAACTGTTAAACTCTAAACAGGTACATTTTTGTAGGGAAACTCCACAGGACATCCACCACTTATTTATACATTATTCATTCATTCACTCATTTTCAGAAGATTTTTGAGTTTGTTTGGTTTGGTACCAGGAATGAAGCACAACATTTTGATTGCCAGGCAAGCACTGTGCTGCTAAGTCAAAGCCCCCTCTTTCCTCTTTTTTTTTTTTTCAGATTTTTTTTTAAGGAATTCTACAAAGGTTGTTATGTCGCATATTCTTGTCTTCAAATTAACTGTTCAAATTATCAGACAGAAGAATCCAAAATTGGTCAAGAAACATTTATAAAAAAGGAGTGAGAAAAACAATTTAAGTATTAATCACTCCTTTCAATATACCAGCAGAAATCAACAATTATCCAAGCTATCCTGTATATATACATATATATTTCTTTTTCCCCTTACTTCCTTCTTTCATTTCTCCTTTCTCTCATCACAGTTGTTCCTTCCCTTTGACCAGTTTCTTTCCTTTTCATAGTATCTTGTGTACCTTTCAGATTTTATTTACTCTTTCATGTTTTTACACTAGCTAAACAATATGATATTTACACACGCAAGTCTGATTTATTTCACTTATGAGTATGGTCTCTAATTGTATCCATTTACCTATAAAAGTAATAAGTTTATCTTTTTAAATTAATTTTATTGAGAAACAAATAGCAATGAGACAGTTTCAAAACAGGTTAGTAGGCCAGTTACAATAATTAATACATTGCAAATTGTTGTCTTCATAGTAGTTATTCATAGTACAAGATGCAGACATGATAGCCTGTCTGAGTATCTTTTTTATAGCTGAATAATACTCCATTATATAAAAATACCACATCTTTTTTAAACCTTCCTCAGTTGATAGGCATTTGGGTTGTTTCCAAGATTTAGCTATGACACATTGTGCTGCTATAAACAAGGGTGCGCATATATTGCTGTAGCATGATGTTTACGGTTCTTCTGGAAAAATATCCAATAGGGGAACAGCCGGATTTATTTTTTGAGATAGGGTCTCGCTGTGTAGTTCAGGCTGACCTTAAACTCACTATGTAGCCCAGACTGACCTGGAACTCACAGCAATCCTTCTGCCTCAGCCGCCCGTGCCCAGGGAGAGGTTCGGTCTCTAAAATTGGCCACACATTTAGACCGATTTCTGTTTTAAGAAATGCACCCTCCCGAAGTGATCCATGATATGTGTAGTTTCACCGACAGATGTTTGTTGAAGCACCAATTATAACAGGAAAAAATAGAGAAATTGCAACAACATGGAATGGTTTTAAAAATATAGTATATATCAGAATAGAACAGCCACACTATTTAGGAATTCCTGTTAACATTGGACAAAGCTCCAAACTCCATCACAAACTTGAGGGGACCCAGAGCCACTCCTAGCCCTTCCTGCCCTTACTGTGCTGGACACCCTGGCCCCTCTCTGTCCCAGGACATCACCCACATTTCTGCCTCCAGACATGCATGCGTCCTGCCACTGCGCCAGCATGGAATGCTGCTCCCTCTCAGTACCACATTCTTGGCACCATCTGATCGTCACCTCCTCATGCAGCCTGGCCTACCTGTCCCCATTCCCGCCACCTCTGTCCTGTGTTTCCACTCTGCTCTCTTACCATCATCACTATGAGTATTATTTACTCAATCAACCAGAAACTCTCTGACAGATGGGGCTTTGTCTGTGTTCTCTGGGACTAGGTGTCAAATGCCTATTTCAGTGCCTGGCACATAGTAGAGTCTCAGTAACTATTTGCAGAATGCAGAAAGACAGGTGATATCCTGCAGTTAGTAATTAAGGAAGGGGAGATCTACAGAGGTCACAGCTCGGAGGAGACAGAGCCAGACCCTATCCCAAGTCTCCATTCCCCTGCACCCACAATCTGTATACAGCTGGCCGTGGCGCTAATACCCTGGCTTCACTGGGTAAACTGAAACAGGAGCTACCTCCACTACCTTACATACAAGCCTCCGGACAACCACTAGTGGTTGGTCTCATAGAAGCCACCATCATCAAATGCATGTGGCAGTATTGCTCTTTTACTGTCCCTCTTTGACTGTCAGGAGGAAGGAGCTGCCGCCCAAAAGCCCTCAAGGACTTGGCTACCCATTGGCCACCTTGGCAAATACTGCTGCACCATCCTGAGTGGGAGGGCAGTGATTCTTCCTTTGATCAGAAGCCCTGTCAGAAGAAGGGTCACCCACATTTGTCCTCCCCTAATGCTGGAACTGGGCTCATGGGAGCGAAACTGGCTATTTCCTGCCATTAGGGTTTAAGGAGAAAAAGTCAGATTTTAATGCACATCCTCATCAGAGCCTCAGTGTGCTCTTCTGTGAAGTGGTACCTGTTACACCTACCTTAGTCTCCAAATAAGAATGTAGGGCTTCATAGTCTCTTGGCTATGCAAAGGAATCATCATGCAGGGGTCAGAAGGCTGGGGAGCCAAGGTGTGAGGAAGATGGGGTCACCTTAGCACAGTCTCTGGGAGGAAGGTGCGGAGCTGTCTAGAGCTTCAGCCCAGGCCTTGCTCATCAACTCTTGTAATTTCCCCAGCGCTCCTTCTGCAGCACCGTGGCCGACGAGATCCGTTTCTCCCTCACCTGCCAGCGTCGGGTCAAGCACAAACCACAGGCTCCCATGATGGTCAAGACCGACGCTGTCATCAACATGCACACATTCAATGACCGCCGGCTTCCAGGCAAGGACAGCATGACCTGCAGTACATCTTTAGCCCCCGTGTTCCCCTAGGCACAGGTTGGGTGGGGACCACAGGCCTGGGGCAAGGCAGAGGGAGGCAAAGGAGACTGGGAGGAACAGCCCAATCCTCAAGTTGGGCTTGGGAACCAGAGCAGCTGCCTGCATGCTGGGCCAGGAGCCCTCCGCCCTCATCCACCAGGACACCAGCAGGCCCGCAAGCCCCTTCTTGGGCTATGCCCTCCTCCTGTCTCTTCTGTGGGTTTCTAAAGCTGCCAGCCAAGATAGCCAAGGCCAAAGGAAGCACATCCCTCTCTCAGGCCAAATTCACCCATCCCAGTTCTTGTACTCTCCTCTACAGTCAGGAGTTTCTGCTATGGCCCAGCAGAGGTTACAGAACTTGGAAGACAGCTCTTAGAGCGTTACTTCTCCCTCAAGAGGCCCAGGCTCTCTAGGGCTTGACCATGAGGAGGGAGACGCAAACCTTGGCACCTTACAGTTGTTACAGTATGGCCGTCAGTGGGAGCCCAGGGATGGTCAATCCCATTTACCTGGGCAAAAGGAAGACTACAGCCTTCAGGGGCTGTTCACATAATCCTGTTCTTGTGGATTTGGTTTTATGTATGGCCACCCCTCAGCAAAAAGAAAGGCAGAGTGGGAAGGAGAAGTTTGGGTATGAGGGAGAAAAGAATGCACAGATAGAAGCCACCATCCTGGATTCTTGTGGATAACATCGCAACGGTTTCTGCATCTTGAGAAGGTCTCCAGGAAAACACACAGTATAGTGGTCATGGCAAATACTTCTCCACTTCTGTCCAGAAGAGAGAGGACCCCCTAAATCTCTCACAAAGGATGCCCAATGACTCAGTTGATATTTAAACCTCAGCAGATGGATTCCATGAAAATCCCACAGGTCTTTGACCAATGGGGCTCACTTTGCTGGTTAGAAAGCTGTTTACTAAGCCCTGTTGGTATTTGGGAACCTGGGCTCTTTGCCATCTACTCACTGGCAACTTCTTATTCCTGGCCAGTTGAATGTGGCCTCCCTCTGTTATCCTGGAAAGAGAAGAGTAGCCTCAATTGAGGTGAAAATCAAGTCACCTTTCTTGGAAAGAGCCAGTGTCCTACTACACGTACTCTTTGGGGTTAGGTGGGAAAAGCCAGAGGGATCCAAATAATTCCTGGCCTCCTGGACCTGCCAGACTTAAGGATGCTCATTAGAAAAAAATCATATTTTCAGAAATAGGATGTCATAGCTACATGGGCCCAGGGGGAGAGGGAAGCTGCTTCCTGGAGAATTAACCAAAGACCCAACATGGAGACATAGATCATCTTGATCCTTTGTCTCTTATCCGGAGCAGTTGCAGCCTTGGGGAAGACAACAGAGGACAGGAATACCAGCCAGTAGAGTACCAGTAAAGGTATGGACTAGATAACATGTGGGGCTCAGCTTGCTGTGAATGTTCTAGGGGACTTTAAGATTCTTTTAAAAAAGAATGGAAATTGAAGGGTTAGGCAAAAAGTGTCCTTAAAGAGAGCATAATGGGGCCCACAGTAGGCTCTGTGCAGGGGAAGGAGAGCTGGAATTCTGAACAGAAAACCAGGGGACACCAGCTACCCCTCCCACCTAGCTTCCGGTACTGCTAGGGGGGGCCAGCTCAGCTAGGAAGAGCTACATTTCCATCTCAAGGGTCTTCTCAGCAGCGAGGGGAAGGAGCCTCTCTAGAAAAGCAGAAGACCAACCTGGTGGGGCCCTCCAAACTGTGAGCTGCAGGATGGAACCCATTGGCCCCCCCAAATGACAGCAGCTCTGATTGGGTATCTATGCTGGAGGAGTGGAATGAGGGTGAGACGTATAGTGAAGCCCGATGCATGGAATGGTAGGGAAAGCCATGCTAGCATGAGCTTCGGGAGGCTGTGAGCACATGTGTGTTTGAGGTATGAGCTTTGGGGGCTGGGGATGAGGGACAGATTTGGTCATTTGACAAAGTCCAGGGCATGCAATAACAGGGGAGCCTTTGGGACCTGGTGTGTGTATGCGAATATGTGTACATGAGTGAATTCTAAACAAGGGAGACAAATCTGGACCAGCAACAGAGCCCTATCTATGTAAAAACAGGAGAAGCCATGTCGTGGGGTTCTGGTGAGAATGCGTGTGTGTGTGTGTGTGTGTGTGTGTGTACGTGTGTGTGCATGTGTATGCATGCATGTGCCTGTGCTCTAAACAGGTGAGAATCAAGGGCAAGAAACCCCTGCAGCATAGCCAAATGTGTGTTAAAGGAGAAGCCATGTCATCAAGGGTTTTGTGTGTGAGTTTGTAAGCTCCTGTGTCCACCAGAGAGCAGGAGGAGGACACACAATGCCTGTTGTGTGTGAGGAGCCCTATAGATGGAAGTTTGGAGAATGTGTGAGTGTGCTCATGCCCGTGTGTGTCCAGACACACACATATGTCCCAGCTCACAGCAGGAGCAAGACAGACAATCAGGAAGGCTGGGCATCAGGGTCTGCATTCCTGTCATGGGAGGGCTTGTGTGTCACTCTTTGTGGAGGTCGCACAAGCATACTCACAGGAAGATGGCCGGGGGCTCCCCTCCTCTGTGGCTCATGGCTGCGGACTCCTTTGCTCTGGTTGGGGTGTCCTGTTTGAAGGACACACTTTTTCTTTTACCATTCTTAATAATAGGGTTCTAGTCAAAGTCTTTACCATTTGCTCTTGCCAACCGCAATCACTAACCACTGTCTTACTTTATGTAGTACAGTTTCATAGCACACACCCTACCCACGCTCGTGTCACACACACACGTGTGCTTTTGTGCATGACACTGAATGAATGTGTCATGTTCTTCTGAGGCTATGCACTATATAGACTGTGATGGGAAGAAGAAAAGGGGTTTGCTGGGGCAGAAGACTTTTTCATCCAAGGAATGAAGAATGGCAGACAAGCAGAGGTGCCATTCCGTTAGGGGACTTCCCCCAAAGGTCCTGGTATGGCTTTCTGCTCCTGCCCAGAAGCGTGAGCTGTGCTGACCTCCCCTTCCATTTGAGCCTTAGACCTGGAGGTGCGTCATGCTCAACCCCAGGCTGATGTCCTGCTTCCTGGAGACCAGTCCAGTGTATGGAGTACAGCAGGGAGCACCCTGCCTGCCCTGAACTGTGACCCTCCCTGGGTGCTGAAGCTCACGCCTTGTCTGGGAAATGGGAGGGGAGGGTGAAGGGCCGGAAGGGTGTGTTCCTAGGAAGGAACTTAGCCTAAGTGGAGGTTGCCCTGCTGCCAGTAGGGTGCAGCCTTACTGGCACGGGGCACACATGTGCATGTGCATGCTGCGTGGCACAGAGGCACTGAGGAAGGCTTGGAAGCACAAAGTGGGATGGAGCAGAAGACGAAACGTGCCTGACGGGTGCACCTGATTGTCCCTGTATGGTCCCCAGGACAGCCTGAACTGAAGAGCGCTTCCCTCCCCCACATTGTCACTCTGGCCAAACGGAAGAACAATGAGGAGGAAATGGCCCCATCCCCTCCCCAAGGTTCTGGGACTTTTGGCCACTGAGTCCCTCTACTGTCATTCTCTTGACCCAGTGGTGACTTGGGTGACTTGGGTGTCCACTGCCGTGGACAGTTAAGAAAAGCCCAAACAAAGGCTTTGTGTCTAGGAGACCCCACTGTGCATGTAATCTGCAAGAGAGAAAGTGCCCATGGCCCAAGAGCTGGACTCTGAATCTCGGAGTTGGGGGAGGTCTGCCTCTTCTTGGTCCAGACTCGGCCTCAGTCAGATAAGCACAGGTGACTCCTGCTAGCACCAGGCTAGGACGGATAAAAAGTCTGGACAAGCTCGATGTTGCTCCCCTCTGTAAAGTCTGGGAAAGCAGAAATCAAACTCAGAACCAGATTGTCTAAGAACCATCAGAAGCCCCCTTCTGCCTTCCTTTCCAAGGGATGCTGGGGTAGGGGAGTACAGCCTGTGCTTCTTCACTGAGCATGAGGTGGAGCCTTCTCCGAGCCATTTTCTGATGTGTGCACAAGTATCCAAGCAGACTAACATCACTGGCCCACAACCGGATACTCATCTGGAAAGGGAGGACCTGCTGGAACAGACAGACAGCTGTACAGGTTTACATCTGACACCAGCCCAGCCCCAGGCGCAGATACAAGACATAGGCCTGCTGTGTGGATGGTCTCTAATCAGACACATCTGGAAGTCCTAGTGAGCAGGACACATCTGGAATGGGCTCAGCTACTTGCCACAGTGGGAGGGCCCTGCCCTCTGTCTCCACACCATTCTGAATCAAGCTCTCATTTCAGTGCTGCATTTGCTCTGGAGTTAAAATTTTCAGAGTTGAGGGGGTACATTGAGTCACAAAACTGTTTTAGGTAGAAAGTTAATGTTCTGTACAATATATATATATGAATGTAAATATATATATATATGCTGTATATATATATATGCACAGTGTATATATGACCCACAGCCCACGTGTATACAACCCTTCCCCGCACGTCTGCACACAGAGTGTACAGAACCCAGCCAGTGCGAGTGGGGACTAGGTGACAGATGGGAGCTATGACAACAAGGTCTGGGACAAAGGTTGCATAGCTCTTGGGGACTGGGCAGGCCCTGCATCCAGCAGCACTCCAGACCCTAAAGGAGAGGACAGTACTGCAGAGCTGGACAGGGCGTGGGGGCAGGGAGTGGCCATGGGACTTTGTCCCATCTGGGACTCTATCTTGGGCAGGCTGTCTGGGCAGGTCTAAGAAGCAGCGTCATGCTAATGCCTGGCCCCTGCACCACCATCACACTTTTTGTTCTGGGGCAGTTAACAGGGAGCAGAAGAACTGGGACAGAGGAGGCCATGACCTAGGCCCACTCTCATCCTGCCTTCTAGTCTCCTGGTAGATGGCAGACTCCATCTGTAACACTCAGATTGTCACCCCACACAAGAGGGCCCACAGCGCACAGCTAGAAAAAAAAATGCATTTTGTAGAGAAAGACCTGAGGGCATCACCAGAATGCCATCCTGCACCCGGTGCCCTGGTCACCAATCTTGCTCTCAGTGCCCCTGCTTTCTAGGACAGAGGGCCTCAGAGCACCCTAGTTTGTCTCAGTTTCACAGATTAAAGCCCTAAGGCCTCCTAATATCGGGAAGCAGCCATTGACTCAGTAAGAGGCTAGCCAAGTGTTTGCTCCAGCTCAGATGCCCTCCCCAACCTGGGACCAGCTGCCAGGGAACAACCAAGGAAAGAGAGATGAGAGACAAGAAGGCAGCACCCACCCAAGCACAGCCTGGTGCCAACTGGCTGCCCTCCCCGCCTCACGTCTGCCCCAGCAGGCCGCACACCTCTGTCCTGCCTCATGTGGATCTGTCTGTTCCCTGCAATCCCAGTCCTTTCACCCCCTTCATGGGTCCAAGCATCCTGGAGCATGCAGGGAGAGATCTGGACTGGGCTTCACTTCTGCACTGGTCATAGCCTACCCTCTGCTTCAACCCCAAGCACTTAAGCGGTCAGCCTCTGGGGTCTGGCCAAGTGCATTTTAATCCAGCCTCTGTGTAAGGTCCTTTCCTGGCTGCTCAGAGACCAGAGGTTCTGGGGGCCCTCATGCCACTGTGTTCCGAAACCCCAGGCCACCTCTGCCTGGGAAGACTTTCGGGCTGGGCCTCTGGGATGGGGACCTCAGTTCCCAGCCCTGGGCTGAGCCCCAGACAGCACCATGGGCCACCCAGAGCCCTGGCCAGTCCCACGACCCAGCCCAGAGTGCCTGGACACCTCCTACTCCCATTCTTCTTGGTTCCCACACACTGGTCTCCGGGCCATTCAGGGGATGCCCTTTGTGGACATGCAGAATTTCTATGAATATAGTTTTTTGTAAACATTTTGTAACA